AAAGACATGCCAAACCTCGCCAAGACCTTCTGAATGTAGCTTCTCTGTGACAAGAAAAGTTTCCTTCTCTCTCTGTCTCTAATGATCTCCATCCCTAGAATCTTTTGAGCGGCTCCCAGATCCTTCATCTCAAACTCAGCACTAAGTAAACCCTTCAGCTTCTGAATGTCATACTTCTTCTTTGCAGCTATCAACATATCATCTACATAAAGTACCAGATAGATGAATGAATCATCCTTGAGCCTATTGTAGTAGACACAACAATCATATGAGCTCCGAGTATAGCCCAACTTCACCATATAGCTGTCAAACCTTTTGTACCACTGCCTTGGAGACTGCTTAAGTCCATATAAGGACTTCTTCAACTTGCAGACGTGATTTTCCTTCCCTGGAACTTGGAGACCATCCGGCTGAGTCATGTATATATCTTCCTCCAACTCTCCATGTAGAAACGTTGTCTTCACATCAAGTTGTTCAAGCTCCAGATTCTGATGTGTAACTATCGCTAATAACACTCGGATGGAAGTATGTCTGACCACTGGTGAGAAGATCTCATTGTAGTCCACTCCCTCTCTTTGGTTGAAACCTCTGGCAACAACCCTGGCTTTATACTTGACTCCTTCTGCTGGTGATATCCCTTCCTTCTTCTTGAAAACCCATTTGCAAGTAATAATCTTTCTCCCCGAAAGCTGTATGAACAAATCCCATGTCTGATTCTTGTGTAAGGACTCCATCTCATCTCCCATAGCAGCAAACCATTTTTCAGAATCAGGACTTAAAATGGCTTCTTTGTAAGTAGACGGCTCAGATGTATCTACCTCTTCAGCAACCTGCAGTGCATAACCCACCATGTCCTCAAAACCATACCTCGTAGGTGGCCGAACTCCAACCCTCCTTGGCCGATCTTGAGCTGTACTCTGATGGATATCTGATGGCATAGATTCTGGAATATCAGTTTCTGTCTGTGGCTCTTGATCCTCCTCTTCAGGTTCTTTCAAATCGCTCTCATTCTGAATGACTTGAAACTCCACCTGTTTATTAAGACTCCTAGTTTCTGACGTAGTTGTAGGCTTCACAATGGTTCTAAGCAGAGAACTTTCATCAAAGACAATGTTCCTGCTCATAATAACCCTCTTTTCTGTTGGAGACCAGATTCTGAAACCTTTCACTCCATCTCCGTAGCCCACAAATACTCCCTTTTTGGCTCTTGATTCTAACTTACCTTCACTGACGTGATAATAAGCCGTACAACCAAAAGCTTTTAGATTTGAATAATCAGCAGCTTTTCCTGACCACATCTCCATAGGTGTCTTGCACTGTATGCTGTATGTGGTCCGCGGTTAACCAAGTAGCAAGCTGTACTAACCGCTTCTGCCCAGAATCTTCTATCTAGCCTAGCATTAGAGAGCATGCACCTTGCTCTCTCCAGAAGTGTTTGATTCATCCTCTCAGCTACACCATTCTGCTGTGGTGTATTTCTGACTGTACGATGTCGAGCAATCCCTTCACCCTTACAGAATTGATCAAATTCAGACCAGCAGAATTCCAGCCCATTATCAGTTCGCAACCTCTTGATCTTCTTCCCTGTTTGATTTTCCATCAAAATTTTCCACTCTTTGAACTTTTGGAAAGCTTCACTTTTATGTTTCATCATGTACACCCAAGTCATCCTTGAGTAGTCATCAATAATGGACACAAAAAATCTACAGCCTCCCAAAGACTCAACACGGCATGGACCCCAACAATCAGAATGGATATAATCAAGTGTGCCTTTTGTTCTGTGAATGGCCTTTGGAAACTTGTTGCGATGTAGTTTTCCAAAGACACAATGTTCACAAAACTCTAGGCTCTTAACCTTATGACCAGCAAGAAGATCCTCCTTTGACAGAATTTGCATCCCTCTTTCACCCATATGACCAAGTCTCATGTGCCATAACTTAGTCATATCCTCCTGGTGAACTTTTGACGATGCAACATGGGCTGAACCTGTAACCGTGGAACCTTGTAGAAAATACAAAGTACCACGCATGACACCTTTCAGAATCAGATTTGAACCCTTCCAGACTCGCAAGACTCCATCTTTTTCCGACCAGCTGAATCCCTTGCTGTCCAAAAGACTGAGAGATATCAGATTTTTCATCATAAATGGAACGTGCCTGACCTCGTTCAATGTGCAGAAGCTACCGTCATGTGTCCTTATCTTGATCGAGCCTGTCCCAACCACCTTGCAGACAGAACTATTGGCCATTGAGATGCTGCCTCCGTCTATCTGCTCATAAGTCGTGAACCACTCTCTCCTAGGACAGATGTGATAGGATGCCCCAGAATCAAGAACCCACACATCTGAATGATGAGTGTGCTCATCCGCAACTAGGGCAATGTCTTCTTCAGAATTGGTGCCTTCTTCAGCAACAGCAGCAGACACTGATTGTTTTTTCGATTGCTTCTTCTTCTTCGGGCAATCAAATTTTCAATGTCCCTTCTCCTTGCAGTAATTACAAACATCATCCGGCTTTGCACCCTTCGACGTCGGCTTATTTTTCTTTCCGCCGTTTTTTCTTCCCTTTCCGCTACTGGTGAACAGGCCGGAAGGCTGTATGTCCGTACTTGTGTCGTTAGCCTTATGCCGTAATTCCCTGCTATGAAGGGCCGATCTGACTTCTTCCAGCGACACAGTATCTTTCCCAACAATGAATGATTGAACAAAATTCTCAAACGACATTGGGAGAGATACTAACAGAATCAGGGCAGCATCTTCATCCTCGATCTTCACATCGATATTACGCAATTCTAATAACAAAGTATTCAATTGCTCTAAATGTTCCCTGAGTTGTGTACCTTCAGCCATTCATAAACCGAATAGACGTTGTTTCAGAAGCAGCTTGTTGGTTAGAGATTTTGTCATGTACAAACTCTCCAGCTTCAACCACAGACCAGCAGCATTCTCTTCATCCGAGACCTCCGTGATGACGTCATCCGCGAGACACAGCATGATCGTCGAGTGCGCCTTTTCCTCCAGAATCGCCATCTCAGGAGTAACGACGTCGTTCTTGTCGGCGCCCAGAAGCCTTGTTGTTTCAACAAAGCCCGCATCTTGATCTGCCATAAACTGAAACTGTTCCTCCCTGTGAATTTGTCGATTTTCACGTTCAAAACAGACATCTCGAATTCTCCAAGAACACCGACTAACCGAGAGGCTCTGATACCAATTTGTTGTGAGGAATTTGATACAATACGAGAAAATATAAACACAAAAAATAAGACAACAGATTTACGTGGTTCACCAATAAATTGGCTACGTCCACGGAAAGAGGGGGAGCAGTTTTATTATGGAGAGGCAAGAACAGAATTACAGAATAGGGTTTGCCATAGTGTCTATATATAGTGCTAAGCTACGCCCTAACAGGCTTGGGCCCAAAATACATAATTGAAAGATAATTAAGGGCCCAATTCAAGGCATTCAACATATAGTAATGCTATGAATGACCTAGTATCGAATACTGGTAATAATATCAGCAAACGAACGTTGTCCCGTGCTTCTAGACATGTTGAGCTCCACATATTCTTGTACAATCAAAGTAGATCGATTCCGTAAAAGATGAGATCAGTAAATGACAATTAACTGAAATTTCATCTTTGTGAGATTGTCAATATTGTACCGAGGGCGTCTTTAGAGTATACCGAATCAATATAGCTATCCTTCTTCTGACAATTTGAATTAGTATCAAAAGTAAGTACTAAATAATTTTTTTTTCCTTTACTTGTTGATGTAAAATCATCTTCTATTCAATAGAAAATTCTTTCGAAACCCCTTGTCCTGGGTCAAGCTCGTCGCACCAGGCTTGCCTAGTGCAGGTTACTCTCCTATGTGATTTGCGAGCTATTGAGAGTTTTACCATGTGCGGAGCGGTGGCGGTTTTCTAGTTAGATAGTGAGATAATAATCTGTCATCTGCCATTCTCAGTCTTTCTCAATTTATATTCATTTCCAAAAATTATTCTTTTAATTATGGTCAAAATACCTGTTAAGTTCTTTAAAATTGGATAGTTAAAAGTGACAATAAACCAAATGTGCATTTTGAGAAAATAGAAAAGAAAAAGTGCAATTGAGTGAAGCTGATTATTGGATGATTATATTTTTAAATTAAGTGTGAATTAGAAAATGGGTCTATGAAATACTCCCTCTAATCCTGAATTATTTGGAAATAAATTCATACTTCAGAATTAGTGGAGAACTGTTGGGACTTTTTTTTTTCTTTCATATTTACGCTTCATTTTAGTGAGATTTTTAATTATTTTATATATTTAGAAAAATGATTTGGAAATATTAGTCTTTGGTTTATGTTCTTAAATATTTTTCTTAAAAAGTTGTGTGATACCTAACAATACAATCATATCAACTCGATTATTAAATAAATAGGTCTTTCCGTATTATTTAATGTTGGATTTAAACGATATGATATGAAACAATATAATTTAAGTATAATAAAAATAAATGTTGTATTTAAACTGATAATATAACAAGCAACAATCATCCAAACGAGGTGTTATTATGGACTAGAGAGTGAACATGTAGGAAATGAAGTGGAACATGTTTGAGCTTTTACAATTTATCTAGACTGGTACGTATAAATTAATATATTTTAATCAGTTGACATATTTATGTAATTGACACTTGAGAATACAAGAAAAAAAACATCATAATTCAAAACAAAGATATCTAATAGGAATATTTTTATATATATTCAGATGCTCAAATATTAAAAATAAATATCAAAACGATAAATAATCTGATTGTATAAAAAAAAATTATTGATAAATTTAATAAAAATATGTAGGTAAAAATGATAGAAAAATCCCTTTCCCTTCTTACATAGAATAAACAACACAAAATTTTGTCCACTTAATTTAATAGTTTCCCTTAATTTTTGGCAAATTTGTTAAAACAACTATAGAGGAAGGTTAACCTTATTTTGAGAAGACAGAGGGACAGTATAAAAATATATTTCTCTATAAAAACACAACTAAAATTTTGATTTTTACTATCACTTTCTTGATATTCAAATTGATTATCATTATAATTAGATATTAAAAAAAAAATGCCACCAGTTACTGAAGAACAGAAAAATCAAGATGTTCAAGGTATTTTCTTCCCTTTTTCTTTTTAATAGTTATTATCTCAGAATAATTACGTTTTTTTTTTAATTTTCTTCATCAAAGAAAACAATTAAAAAATAGTTCTTTCATTTCATATTCCTTTTTTGAGAAGCATATGTATCATTTTTAATTATAATTTGTCTAATTCTCTTATTTATTTTTAAGATTTTTATAATATTGCTTGATTATGCAGACATTATTCAAGATGGATTTAAAGGAGCTGTCACTACATGTGCTCTTACTTCTATAGTTGTGGTAATCTATCCCCTCCATTTCTTAAAAAAAATCTTTTTTCTTTTAATTTAAGTCGTCAGATAGATAAAAAAAAATTAATCATATTCGATATTTATATGAAATCAAATAATTTAATTTTAGTAGGACTAGTGAAAGTATAACGTGAGGATGCATACCATTTTAATCATGGTTAAGTAATAAATATTAGTAAAAATGGTTAATATTATTCATTCACTTCAATTGATTATCACAGAGTCACTAAAATTATCATTTTTACAACATAAAAATCATTCAATTTTTGCTTAAGAATCACAACGTGTCAGTAAACAATTTCTTTTTAAACAAAACGTCATTCAAATTCAATTTGTCTAAATATCATGTAATGTGTATTATTTCTTTCTAGTGATGCTTTTTATGATACAAAAATCAATGTAACAACAAAATGAAAGTTGAGCGATTATTTGTTCTCTGTCCTTGGTATTTATTTTTATTATTTTTCAGTTTGCTTCTACTCGTTATTGTCCATGGGCCAAGGCAAATATAAATTATGCTGGTAAAACATTCATCATATCTGCATGTAAGTAATTCAAAACTATATATTATCTTCAATTAAAATATTTCATTATTCCTAATGAAATTCAAAAAAAAAATTTCAGTGACTGCAGCTTCTTTTGCATTCAGTGCTGAGCAGTCTATAGTGAAGAAGCATCGTGGTAAAGAAAGGTGGGAATGACCATGACTCCCATAATAATCAAGAAATTAAATTTTGAGAATTAAAAAAAAAATGTTACACTAATAACTATGTAGAAAATATTCCCCTTAAATTTTGTAAATCTTTGTTATAGTTTTAAGTAGATGCCTTCATTTACTTAAAAACTTATCATTTTGTGACGACTCCAAAGTGACGAGAGAACCAGAAAAACTTATTACATCAAACCATATTAATTGGTACATTGATGCAAGAATGTATAATCAATCATGATTTTATTGATAAACATGTAAAATATGTATTAACAGGCTTCTGGGCAAGATTTTATCTTTGGAGCATTATCTATTTATCTTGCATGTGAAATTAAAAGAAACGAATCGCGAATATAAGAATTCAGGCTTACAGTAAGATGTCATTGACATACCCTATGTTCAAGGGAAAAATGATGTTCTCTGCAGATACGAAATATGCTTCTTACCTCATTCTTTCAAAAGGTAAATGACAACAGATAGGGTTTTCTTTATCTAAATTCATTATAAATGGCCTATAATATGAACGGAGAAGGGGGTGAACTTGATCCACTACAGCCTAATTGGTGACTACTGAGAAGTTTACTCGAATTGAATAAGTTAGAAAACTAAACCTTGGTACTTTATGAAAGTGTGGATAGCCCTCTCCAATTCTTGCGTTCCTGAAGATAACCTCAAAAAGCATAACGGTAGATTGCATCAGCTGCTCCATTTTCATCGTTGCTGGCACCAATCACGTCTGCAACAGCTTTTGCCTTCTCTGATCCATTGCTAAGAGCAACACCGAGGGAAGCCAACTTAAGCATCTCCACATCATTCTCTCCATCACCAATGGCCATTATCTGAAAATAGAAGTGGAAGAGGAGTTGGAGAAACTATATAACTAGACTACAAAATTTTAGATTGTGCACGCTCATGCAGATCTAAAAATGGTATGAATAAAACGAAATTGATACAGTTTCATCACATCTCTGCCCCATCTTGAACTAGTCATGCAAAATATGCAATGGGAAAATCAACTATTCCCCCCTAGGCCATGGCCCCACTAAGGCTGTAGAGAAAGGAAATGATTAATCTATAGAAAGAACAGAAAGCTCCCCAGTCCAGAGGCAGATCTAGAAAGCTCCCCCAGTCCAGAGGCAGATCTAGGATTTGAAGTTCATGGATTCCTACTATAGGTTCAAGTTAATAAACAATAATAATTGGATTTACGGTCACATATATAAAGGTATTTAGTGGATTTCTAAATACATAATCAGGGCTTGAGTAAAACTTATTGGGTTCACGACATCACATGAACGCATAGATTACATTGTAGATCCGTCCTTGCTCCACACTGTCAATCAAAACATAGGTGTTCCATGAGGCTATGAGAAAAACATAAACAGGTCTACCAATAAAAGATGTTCCGTCATTTTGAGAGCGTTTGACAATGTAGATATCTCCAGCTCACTCCATATAGGCTAGGTTTTTATTTGCGATAATTATGTTGTCCGGACCAGCTTATCATCGCGAGATTTGCACTATATTCAGTGAAAGAATGTGTCTACACCAGAGGAACACCAATTCTTCAGAAAATTCTAACGTGTTATGATGACATTTTTCAATTAAGTCTATCATTTGGGAGTTCCATTCTCACACTTAACCGCTGTGATATTAATTTTACATTTGAAACGATTGAAAATAATAATAATAATAATATACTCCCCCCGTTTAAAAAAGAATGACCTCATTTCCTTTTTAGTTTGTTTCAAAAAGAATGACCTCTTTTTTTTTTTGATAACATTTTAATTTCAACTTTCCACGTGGCATGTTTAAGGTCACAAGATCAAAGGACAATTTTGTACATTTAACCTAACTTTAATTTAGAACCACAAGATATAAAAGTCTTCTTTATACTCTTAAACTCCGTACCAAGTCAAACCAGGTCATTCTTTGTGAAATGGGGGGAGTGTGTGTATATATATATATGTATATATGTGTGTGTGTGTGTGCGCGCGCGCGCATGTGTGCGCGTCTTACATGTATACAGCAATGCCCCTGAATCTTAAGCAACTCAAAAAAAACCTCAAAGTTATAGGCACATTAAACCCCATTTGTTCAGATATGTGCGGGTAGACTTTTCTGGCATTCTATTGTCCCAAATTCTTGGGTTATCAATCCCATTAACGGTAACTTCTTCAGCATATGTGCATCAGAGAGAATGAAGCATGTTTCAGGAACGAAACTGATGATACTACATTTTTGCTGAGTTAAGGATATCAAGGCAAGTTGCAGTAAACTTAAGTGTACCGTGATGATTAAATGCTAAAAGTAACATAGGGAAGATAAATATTAATACTTGAGTCAAGGTATTTTATTTTATTCTTTGAGAAAAACTGTGTCGATGTAGTTCTGGTTAACAATCTTCAATTCAACTGTTTTGAGATATTAGGTAGTAGAAGAGATAATGGAAAAAGTTCGATAGCACTCACCTCCTTAGGACTAACACCCAAATGATCAAGAAGAATCTTTACTCCACTGCCCTTAGAAGATCCAGGAGGAACAATTTCAAGTATGTCCGGTTGAGCTTGGACAACAGAGGCATTATCTCCAAGTGACTCCTCCCAGTATGGTCTCAATGTAGAACTCACTCCCTCCACAGTATCGAAGAAGATCACCTTCTGCAAATTGACAATAAAGGATTAGTTACAACCAAACCTAGAATATGGATGCTGAATGAATGAAAAAAAAAATATCCCCTACCACCTGCAGATGAAAAACTTGGAATGTGAACAAGCAAATAAAAATGGGGAGGAAGCCAAAAGTTAAATTTAAGAGTAAACAGAAGAAATGTGAAAAAAGATTTTAAACACAATTGGAAGTAAACAAAAAAGGTTGATAGAACCATTTTCCTTTTAGGGAGGAGTAATTCCCCTCCCTACAGATGGAGTGCATACCATGTGTTTACTTAAAGCGCCACCACTAAAAAGGGGACGAACCCTCCCATCCACACCCCAACAAGGAAAAAGAAAACTAAGAAGATCATACAGTGATGCAACTGTCCCCTTTTGCCCTCGACCTTGAATACACAAAATAACCATGACCATGGGAATGTCAAAAAGATAACAACCCAAACCTCCACACACCAGCAAACCTGACATCTGCATCTTCACCAACAAGCGATCCTCAAAAGAACCATTGTGATGCCTGAGCATACTTCAGATCAAAAGAGTGACTACTCAGGTATGGCATATGTTCCACTCTTATTCAAGAACCATGGGTGATGCCTGAACATACTTCAGATCTTCTAAGCTGCTGGATAGGAGAGGTGGGAGACTGGGAGTAAAAAGCAAAAAAAATGGTGAAGCCTAGTTCCTTCTTGCATATGGTGGTCAGTTTGGAAGGAAAGAAATAATAGATGTATTGAGAATATTACTAATCCAATGCAGAAAGTAAAAGAAAACTGCATCAATACTTTATATTTTGGTGTAAAGGAGAGGGTATAGATGAGGTAGAACAATTAGCAGATTTCCTAGGCTCCATGTAATTATGATTACCTGCCTTGTCAGTTTATGATAGTTGTCAGCATACCCTCATTGCTGAGGAATACAGCTTTACCTTTCCCAAAAAACACATAGTAGCTAAGTTTATCTCTTTAGGTTGTCTTTTATTTCTTATCTTCCAGATTTCTAGCTAATTGCCTTTTCTTACTTGCTGTGATTACTATAATACGTAAATTATCAACTTCAAAAGCAATAAGAGAAAAGATTGTTTTTAAGAATCACTGAGCTCAACTTGCATTAGTAAACAGAACCGTGAATGGGCTATTTTAAGCATATGGAGAGGAATTTGACATCTAGACAAACTTTGGAAGGGTAGGGGAGGCTTCACCTCCACAACATAGCAATGTGCGTACAAGACGTAAGCCACCCCCACCCAAAAACAAAAGTTAAAAAGTCTATGATCAAATTTAACCAACTACCCAGTGTTTTGGGAAGCGAGAAGCGGAAAAAAGCGACGAGGGCTTGCTTCACAGGAGCGAGAAGGTGAAGCGAAGCGTGCGCTTTTTTTAAAAAAAAGCGACATTTAGTATAAAAATAAAAAAATATTAAATAACTAAAAAGAGGTAATATAGTCTTAGATTGAAAGAAATTACTTAGGCAAAAATACTCACAAGTCATAACATATAAAGCAAAAAATCAAAAACATAATTAAATCACAAAATACTAAAAACAAAAGGAAGTTTCAGAAAATAATAAAAAAGGCTGCTAGCATACACACTGATCATAAAATTAAAAAAAAAACAAAAGAATTGAAAAAAAAAACAGAGGCAGCAGTCAGTAAGAACTAAGAAGAAAAGAGCAGGCAGCAAAGAATAGAGATGAAGAAAAGAAGAGAAGAAGAAGAAAAAAGAGATGAACAAATTACCTGCAGGCCTCAGTCGAGATCTTGAGGAGAGAAAGAAGGGAGGCAGCCAGCAGCCTCAGTCGAGATCTTCACGAGAAAAAGAAGGGTGACAGCCAGCAGCCTCAATCGAGAGCTTCAGGAGAGAGAAGGGAAAGAAAGTCGCAAGGAGAGAAGGGAAAAAGAGTCGCGAGGAGAGAAGGAAAGAAGAGTTGTGAGGAGAGAAGTTATATTTCAGATTTTTTTTAAAAAAAACTAATTTTTTAAAAAAAACCCTAATTGTCGCTTTTTTTTTTTATAAAAAGCGCGCTTTTTCCTCAGCGTCGCTTCTCGCTTCTTCCTCTGAAGCGAGTGCTTTTTTCAAATCGCCTCGCCTCAAGTTAAAAAAGCGCACAAGGGTCGCCTCGCTTTGAAGCGCGCTTTTAACAACACTGCAACTACCTAATCATGTGGTGCATCTGCATCCTAAGTCAGCCACCAGCTTGAAAAATAAGGACTCTTCCAGCAACTTCAGATGCAGTTTTCCTTTCAGCTTAAATGTGTAATACTAGTGCAAGGTACAATTCCCGCTCAATAATAAATGGCACATGTTCAGGGCAACACTAAAAACCTACAATTGATCTCCAGTACCCTTCAATACTTGGAAAGTACTAGTCATATGCTTAGCAGCTAATTTCAGCTACATACCTGTATGTCTGTCCCAGTCAATAGTTGCTCAACTGAAGGAATAATCTCGGCCTGGCAAAATAGATTAGATATGAAGCATTCAGCAAAAAATCCCAATGCTTGTATACTGTCTAGCAAGATATAAAATATTGATATGGATGGTACCTTTGGCTCATTATATATGGTATGAAGTGAATCCACAAGCGGGTGATGAAACAATGTAAAG